ATATCACAGGTTGTAAGGGCTGCACACAAGGGACGTGAAAGTGATTACTGTCAGCTGACAGTCAGCACTGTTGGGGATGTCCCAGTTGCCCTTGTTCCTGAAACAGTTTAGGGTTGGTGTTGTAAAACCCAACACGCGGCTAGCTTGACAAAAGCCCAACCAGCCACAGGTGTCCCCTGGATCAGCAGGTGTCCAGGGATGCCACTGAGGATGAGCTGAGGGGCTTAGATGAAGTGAGCAGATGGGCCAGCCCTCCCTCAGGCTTCTTTGCTAAATAATGTTGCCTGAGGGAGGCCTGAATCATCTCCTCAGTTTCTTTTGATCACATAATGAGCTGACAAGCAGAACTAAATGGGAAACAAATTGGAAACAAATTGGAACAAAGTTAGAGAAAAACAGGAAAATTTCAACGCTCACATAGTTGTGAGCATCAATTTTTGCCCCTGTGATTGTGGTGTTTGGGCATCTGGGGCAGGAGCCAAGGTGCCTTGAGGGTGCAGCTCAGCCCCCATTGCAGCCTGCTACTGCCTACTAGGTGGTTACACACCAGACTTTCCCCGTCAGGGACCCGCCGGGAAACTGGTTTTTCCAAGTCGTCAGCCCAACTCCCGACTCACGGGGATTCCCGACCACCGGGGGCTTCAAAAGCTTCACCCAAACCCCTTACCGATTGGGATCAGCTTTGGGGCTCAGGCTGAGTGCTGACCCTGCGGATGCGGGGTCGCAGTGACGCCGCACAAAACCCAAGGGGGGGTCGATCTGGGGTCAGCGCAACCCCGCACCCGCGGCATCACCACCTTGCATGTAGTGAGCAAAGCCAATTGACTGATTGAGAGGTCAGGAAAACAAGAAGTTCAAGATGAATTGAAAGACATGGCAGGATGCGGGCCAAAGGGCTGGTATGTTCAATTCGAAGTTCAACAGCTGTCAAGATAGCTGTTGTGAGTATGAACAAAGTTCGAGTCCAAAACTGAGTTGTGAACCAGTTTTTGCCTGGCAAGTTAAAATTGAGCGCAACACATACACATCAAGAAATTACCGATAGTTCTCACAACGGCTGTATGTATTTATCCAATGGAGACGCCATACACAATCTGATCAGCGAATTCAAGTTGGCAAATTGTCATTTCTTGTTTCTTTCTGTCGTGCCGCACACTCAGTGAGGCACGATATCATCCATTAGTCTATGAAGAATGTATGATGGTCCTCAACACCTTAGCCTCTCATTGCATAGTAAGGAGACAAAACAATTTAAATCCCCTTACTATCCAATACTTGCATTTTTTGGCGGAGGAGCTCTAAATTTGAAGTACCATCATGTAGTTTTTTTGACTTCTCTGCTTCACCTCACCATAGAAAAAGTTAAGGTGTTGGTATGCCATTCTTCATAAAATGGTACACAACCTCGTACCATAAACATATCTTTTTCTTGGTAGTAAGGTGTTGAGATACGTGATGCAAATTTGATTCCCTGTTTTGCCCAAAAAGGTTGGATTTTTTTGGTCTTAGATTCTTGATGTAATGTGCAAATCCTCCAGGAGTTTCTTCATAGTAAAAACATCAAAGGAACTTATGGCTTAAGTGTTCACTGCTTTTAAGGAATCCAAAATGAAAAAAAGATACAAATACAGGTGAAAGATGAAAAAGACACAATTGAAGATTTTCTATTGGTACAATGGTGTTGTACAGCAATTGCAACACTATATCTACTGGAGCATTTTCATTTTGTCACAAGTATACACAATGAAGATATAGGCATTGCGACTTTGTTGAGGCCACAACAAAATGACCACACAATACAATCTATTGTCACCACCCCCAGCTACTAGGCACTGGCAAGCCAAGGCCTACCACTGACTTCAAAATGACTTCAAGCAAACTTCAATATGTTTTCAATATAATTTTGACATAACTTTACCTGAACATAGGATCCAATGCATTATATTCAGGGAATCTCTGATAACAAGGAATGAATTGTGGGCCCAGTTTACCATTGTTTTTTTAGCTGAATTACATATACTTTAGTGTTGTTTATGTCCTGAAGGGTGGAACCATGTTTCTACAACTACTAGTACTGATATGATCTTTTCTAAGATATCACTATTCCATATCTCTTGAAAAAATTGGTCTTGGGGTAGTGTTTCAAAGATCAAGTGCACAGAACAATCTAACAATGTGGGATATATCTGGCAGATTTCTTCTGGTAAACCTGATTGTATCCAGCTTGATCTTGTGATTCAGAATTTCTTCAAAACAATCTCCCATCAAGGCTTGTGATTTTTGGCCAAGCCTCACTTATTTGCATAGACAGATGTGCAATGACTTTTGGATCCCGGTAGTAATATGTACATCTCACAGAACATGAGTGCCAAGATATGGCTTTTTCAATTTTCTTCGAGAAACACTTGCAAGAATATTCAAATACAGTCCAAAAACATCAGCCAAATATCCTCTACTATCTTGAAGGATTTTCTCTGTAAACCTTGTTTATTCATGTAGAAATATGCACAATTTCTGGAGGATCCTGATGGTACTATCCACACGCCTGCATGGAGCTGTGGTGGGGAGATATCTTGGTTTTGTGTTCTAGCCTCAAGCCTAGATGTCTCATTACACATTGATACTTGGGGCTAGGACACATGACCCCAATATACCCACATCACAGCTTTGTACAGGGGTGTAGATTGTACAGTTGGGATACACCAGACATTGTGCATCTGTGAATGTGGATAAACAAGGGTTACAGGGAAAAAAAATCAACATAGGTGTCAACTGTAAGAGGTTCTGCAGAGCAGAACCCCTACCTAGTTGACAAAGATACAAACAAATGGTTGAACCATTATCAGAAAACAGACTTATAAAAAAGAAAAAAACCTACATCGCTATCACTCAGTGTCAAGAGTGTATAACTTAGAATAAAAGACTTTTTACATTAAATTAACATACTAAAACTATACTTAATAAGTTATGTTTAACAAAACATTGTCCAAGTAAAAGTGAGGTAAGTAACCAAAAGAGTAGTTATCGAAACAACTAAGAAACAAAAGATAAGGGTCCGGTCAATTAAACAAACCCTGACCAGGCAAACCCTTAACTACAACTATCATCAGCATATTTGACTGGACTAGGCAGCAACAATCATATGATGTAATCAAACCCTGAAAGTTCATCAAGAGAACACTCGCTGAACCAGGTATATAAAATATGAGCCTACTTCAAAGGAATGAAAAATCATCTTTTTACCACGCACAAATTTAAAACCACCTTTTCAAACAAACTCACTGTTTTAGAAAGATCCACTTCGTATTATTCCTTTTTCACTCATCTGTCCAAGACTTACAGTTATACATTAGAAACTTACTTACTAGCTTCTTTCGTATCAAACTCGCGTCTCGGCCAGACCTCTTTTTCTCTTTTTCATCTTCATCTTATATCCCCCTCAGGACGTTAAAGATCGTGATAGTACTGACTATCTTCGACTAAAGTTCCTAAAAATTATCCTCTATTTTTGATAAAGAATTGTTTTATCAAACTAACGCTGAAGCGTCATCCTAAGGCACTGCTTACGTCTAAACAACGTATTCTCCTTGGAAGGTAGTAAAAGTGATTGCACTTTTATCTTCAGAACTGGCAGCGGTTTTATTCCGCACCTAAGACAGTTATAACTAACAACTATAACTACTTTTAATTACTCACGAAGAATTTGAAAAATAATCTCCCTCTAGTTTCAAGAAATCTTGATTAAAACTAGAAAGAATACATTTTGTGAGTATCTTTCAACTCTGAACTAACTAGTATTCACCTTACTTGTAGTCTCAGGTTGACAATTGGGGGCCTCATCTTTACAAATACCTTTTTCTTTTTCTTTTGGAAAAACAAAGACAAATCGAACTCGAAACCTTTCTTTTTAATCAATTATCAAACTGACACATCAAAAGCAAGTTCGATATTGATCCAAATAGAATCGCGCATTTTTATAGCTTTTCGATCTTTTCCTCGAAAGCAACAATTTCTTATCAACCTACAGACGTTGGAGCTCTTCAGTTGTTAGAAGAACTCCCTTTTTTCTCGTTCCAACAGGAAAATCCTTTTACGGACGAAGCATACCACCAGTCGTTCGGAATCCACGTTTTAAACGTTAATCACCCGTTTCTACAACTTTACGCTAGTTTAAACGATTTAGACAACGACATTTGGATTGAGGATCTGCTTTAACAAACTCAAGAAATCGATTATAAAATAGTAAGTTAACTATTACTATCTCATAGACATTTGGTTTAGTTCGAGAGCTCTAAGAGAGATCGATTTTAACAATCCTTTTAAACTGGGTCTTCCGTGTTCGATTCGAAACAGTGAACGTAGACGAAGTTCGTACCTTAGCACCTTACAACCCGGCAGACGAAGACCTCCTAGACTACGAAGAGGCAGGAAGTGAGTCATTCGAAGACTCGTACATAACTCTATAGCTTCCATAAGTACCAGTGGCTTACGGCTCTGCTTGTGTGACGTAGTGGAACATCAACCGAACGATCAGCGAAGTATCGCTCCGTCTACAGCACCAGCTTCGGCGACAAAGAATCGCTACGCGAAGCCAGCACCGTTGAAACTACGTACGGCAGATCCGTTTCGAAGCCAAAAGACTTCACCTCGCGAGCCAAGACCAGTGTCACTACTAGAGTTCCAAGCGTCCTTTGGTAGAAAAGGTACCGCCACTCAGAATCAGTATCATCCACGTAAGAACAATCTTTTAAGAAAGAAATCTTGTAAAATTTGACCTTTTAGACACAACCAACATACTAATACCCTGATGGCTCCCACCACTAGAAGCGGCTCCTCGCGAGCACCCAGCGTTGCAGACGCAACAACTACGGTCGGCGATGATGATCGACGAGGTTCCCAACCTCCAGTCAGCAGTCGAAAGCCAAGCACCTCCACCACCACCTCCAAAAGGAGTAAGACGGCCCCTCACGATAGAAGAGACCGACTTACTCCTGATGCACAGAGCGAACTACGACGTGTGGGAACAGGCCAAGACCCAGAAAGATCGAGCAGCCTTCAAGAAAGCGACACTCAAAGGCAAGGCCTCTCACAGACAACTGTCCAAACTGATGGGCTTCAAGTATCTAATGGAGCATACCAACAGTTGGAACCCAGCGATCTGGGATTGGAATACTTTCGAGCTCAGAGCGAAAGGGAAACCTCCATCCTCGGACCCCCATCCACGTCGAAATCAAACCAGTTCTCGCCAAGGGAATTCCAACGGCGAACTAGTGATTCAACTCATCAGAGAGGCAGGCAAGGCAGTGAGGAACTAGACCTCACCATTCTCCCTTTAGATCAAGAACTTATCAATCCTGTATTTCATCACCTGAAAATGTACCTTGACCCCATTGTATGTAATCAGGACAAGTTGTTTAATGAAATAAAAACCATGTTGTCACTCGTTAAAAGTCGTGATGCGAATAGAAGAATTGATGTGATTGATAAAACAATTGCTGAGCTGATTAAGAACGTGAATGATCAAGTAAAAACGTTGAATCAAATAGGTTTAGTAGTAAAGAAAGCATCTGAGAACATGACAGAAACTAAGCAAGGTCTGCATAAATGGACAACTGATGCTATCGAAGCTATAGACAATGCAATGGCTGGTACACGTCAACTGCTTGTGGATAATAATCAGAAGCATTTAGACGACCAAACCAGGGAGATTAATAAGATGGTCCATGTTCTCAACAACAACATGAGAGCTACAAATGATACTATCCGCGAAAACAGTGAGAACCAACAGCCCACGGAACAATTCACAAAGAAAACACATGATCAGCTAGCAAACATGAATAAGACGCCTTTTGAAATCGAAAGAGGATATAATCCCCGAACTCCAAAAGACATGGTCAGGGATAAAACTATACAAGTTCACCCGACGTCACTCAGCTTCCATGATATGTTGTCAAAAGCCAGGGAACATGCTAGAAGCTGTATTGATGATGCGGTTAAATACAACAAACACCGATGGGATAAAACTCACAAAGAGCCAGAATTCGCAGTAGGCGACAAAGTATTAGTATCAACGGTTAACTTTAACAATATACAAGGACCGCGTAAGCTGAAAGACTCCTTTGTAGGACCATTTATAATCATTAAACTACACGGTCCAAATGCGGTAGAAGTTTTGTTAACAGGTGACTTTGCCCGAAAACACCCAACCTTCCCAGTTTCTCTATTAAAACACTTCAAAGAAGCAGAACCAGGCAAATTCTCTAAGCGTACTCAAATTGAGGAAGTTGTACCGTTTGACGACGAAGCTCCTAAAAGTATACTTAAAGTATTAGACCAAAAGAGAGTGAAGTTGAGCGGTAAAGAAGTAAGATTGTATCTTGTCAGATACAAAGGGAAACCATCTGACCAAGATGAATGGCTCCCAGAGGATAAAATAGCCAATGCATCACAGGTTCTTAGAAAATTCAGAATAGAAAAGAAAAACTCCTCCTGATCTTTTCTTTTTTCCGACCCCGGTGAGTGTCAACTGTAAGAGGTTCTGCAGAGCAGAACCCCTACCTAGTTGACAAAGATACAAACAAATGGTTGAACCATTATCAGAAAACAGACTTATAAAAAAGAAAAAAACCTACATCGCTATCACTCAGTGTCAAGAGTGTATAACTTAGAATAAAAGACTTTTTACATTAAATTAACATACTAAAACTATACTTAATAAGTTATGTTTAACAAAACATTGTCCAAGTAAAAGTGAGGTAAGTAACCAAAAGAGTAGTTATCGAAACAACTAAGAAACAAAAGATAAGGGTCCGGTCAATTAAACAAACCCTGACCAGGCAAACCCTTAACTACAACTATCATCAGCATATTTGACTGGACTAGGCAGCAACAATCATATGATGTAATCAAACCCTGAAAGTTCATCAAGAGAACACTCGCTGAACCAGGTATATAAAATATGAGCCTACTTCAAAGGAATGAAAAATCATCTTTTTACCACGCACAAATTTAAAACCACCTTTTCAAACAAACTCACTGTTTTAGAAAGATCCACTTCGTATTATTCCTTTTTCACTCATCTGTCCAAGACTTACAGTTATACATTAGAAACTTACTTACTAGCTTCTTTCGTATCAAACTCGCGTCTCGGCCAGACCTCTTTTTCTCTTTTTCATCTTCATCTTATATCCCCCTCAGGACGTTAAAGATCGTGATAGTACTGACTATCTTCGACTAAAGTTCCTAAAAATTATCCTCTATTTTTGATAAAGAATTGTTTTATCAAACTAACGCTGAAGCGTCATCCTAAGGCACTGCTTACGTCTAAACAACGTATTCTCCTTGGAAGGTAGTAAAAGTGATTGCACTTTTATCTTCAGAACTGGCAGCGGTTTTATTCCGCACCTAAGACAGTTATAACTAACAACTATAACTACTTTTAATTACTCACGAAGAATTTGAAAAATAATCTCCCTCTAGTTTCAAGAAATCTTGATTAAAACTAGAAAGAATACATTTTGTGAGTATCTTTCAACTCTGAACTAACTAGTATTCACCTTACTTGTAGTCTCAGGTTGACAATAGGAGAGAATTTTTGGCAATTCTTTTGGAGTGTATTGGAATATTTATCTTTTTCTAAAAGAAATTCAAAAATGTTGTATCTTGGCACTCAGATTCTGTACAGAGGTGTACATACTACTACTGGGATCCGCCAGTCATTGCACATTGGTCTACCAAAATAAGTGAGGCTACAGGCAAAAATCACAAGCCTTGTTGGGAGATCTTTTCTAACTTTTCTAACATGTATGGGCATAAACCTGGTTTACAAGAACAAATCTACTGAAGATATCAAAGATTGTTACATTTTTCTGGACCAGTCATGTTATTCTAAAAATGAAGCATTGTCATATTTTTTTGGGATGGAGAACTGTCCAGATGGTTGCAGGCATCATCTTAAGTTCTTTTGAATTTTGCTTGAAATTACTTTGGAAACTTCCTGGAGTTGTGGTAGTCTCTGGCCTGCCAGTGAATAGTAGCTGGGGTCTGTGGATACAATCATCAAGTGTATTGAAGTTCTTTATCTCTGGCATGTGTTGTGCTACCAACACCTGAAGTGCTCCACTTCAATTGTCAGCCTGAGCCTTGAAACGGGTGGCTTTAAGAGAATCATAGCTGAATGATTGTGTGCTTGATGCTTCTTTATTGGCTTTGTTACAGAGTCACTGAGGTAAATTCAAGCCTTGGAATGTGTCCCGCTGCCTGATACTCACTGAAAGGTCTGTTCCTTCAGGGTCCTCTGAGGTAGGTACAAGAGTATCCCTGTCTCAGGTTTACAATTCAATGCAACAGTCTAGTTTCTACATATTGATAAAGAGACATCAATAACAATCTTCAAAAATCTTGGACAATAAGATGAAATTTAAATAGATGTCTGGATCTTTAGATCAATAACAACATTCTTTAGCAAAAAGATACACAATAATTACAGTTATAAAAAACAGTAAGAGTCAAGTAACAAAGGTAGGATCAATGAATTAGATACAATCTAAGGGAAAAGTATGAGCTGGTCTTTTAGTAAAAAGTTATAGAGTTTGATTTCTAAAAGTAAAGTTGTTGGTTCGTAAAAAGGTATTTTCCGTTCTTGGATGGAAAATAATGTTGCCTTGACATGTGTATGTATTTCTGATATAGTGCATCAGGGTCTCTTTGTATGTGGTCATAAGGGTTCATTTGTGGTAAGCTGAACCCAGCAAAAATGCTCCTTGTGCCATATCAATATTACTTCTTGGAAATAGGGTCTTGGCTCCTTTCAGCTTGGTTGTTGTTTGCCCGGTGGGTTCTTTCAAACTAAAGCCATTGGCTGGCAATGGGAGTAATGTGAAATACTCCTCATGGCTGACATCAATCCACTTTTTTCTTTTTTTTGTAACGGAGCACAATCCCACTACATCTGAGACCCACTCTTGCCACCATGTCCGTGTGGTGTTTGCTTGTCAACAAGCACACACGAGTTGCCTTTGTGCCTCAAAGGCATTCTGTGTGCGCTTGTTGTTGGGCGACTGTCACCAGGACACAGTGTGCTCTGCTCATGAGACCAACCCACACCTCTTGCGCTCAACCACATATGATCTTTGGTTTCAGAGTGGGGTGGAGTCTTCAATTCACTGACATGGTTTTATGATGCAAATTGATAAGAATACAGAAATAAGTATATGCATAAATGACCAAGGAGAAAGCAAACCATGAGACATGAACATTGAAACAAACATCCAGGGATAAATCAGAGTGTGAGGGTTGGGTGCTCAGATGAGTACTCAACACTGCCAGCATTAAATATGTTCCCTGGTCGGAACATGACCTAGGCTGGGAATATCATTGAGAGAAGAATGGTGCATCAAATCATCTTGCACTGCACATCTGAGCCATAAAGCATACACTACATATGTGCAAACATCTGAGTAAATCCTTAGCTATCAGCTACATACAGGTCCGCTCAGTTTTCTGCTCATCTAGATAAGAAGTTCATGTGTAATACATGCTGTAACTTTGTTCAGATTGAGCCACACATCTCAAAATATTGACTACATATATCACAATGGCTACTCAGGAAATATTCATGGAACTGTGTAACAGTAGCAGGATGGGAATGTGATCACTAGGACCCATATTCCCATCTGGGAACCTCTTTAATGCTGGCAGTGCAAGGCTCACTTTATTGGGTTATGTAGGGGTTTATAGGTTTCAATTGATTATCTTATATTTCAAATATAATGTAATTACAACTAGCAATATATAATTAGAGGAGGAAGGGAAAAGGGGACTGGTCTGTTTGGATAAATCCAGACAGACTACAGTTAAGTGACTCCTGAAAAGGAGGTTTATAATTATAATAAATAAATGTTATAATTAATGAAGGATGGATCCAAAAGTCCTTCCTTTAATCCTTTTTAAGTAACAGATTAAAGAGTGATATAAAGGTCACTACACTGGTTGTTCTTAAAGTCACCAACTTATGGTTGTTCTTAAGGTCACCATCCTGAAAGTAATTATATGTAGGTCACTAGCCTTGGGTTTTTTGAAGGTCACCAACCTAAAAGAGTTCCTACTTGGGGGAAGTAGAGGATCCAGAAAGGTTGAAGGTATTACTTACTTTTAATCAAGGAACTGATTAAAGTAATGAAGATATCACTAGTCTCATATTTATAAGACTCTTGATGTTACTTCAGTAGAACTTTAATTGTTCTTAAAAGTAGTGTGTAATAATTGCTTGGGGGAGGATCTCTGAAGGCTGAGGGAGGAGGAGATTATATACTCTCCTCTCCAAACCTAATTGTAGTAATATTTGTTTGTATCACTACCATGGTTTAGGGTTTAATCATTACTGTTAGTTATGATTATTATTATTGTTACATAATTACATATACATGTTATGTAATTTATTTAGTATAAGCATTGTAACTCTTGACACTGAGTTATGAGGTGTAAATGGTGTTTTATTACATATTACATATGATTTTGATTGTATATTTATATTTAATTGATGTTTGTATATGTTCTATTGCATGCTACAAGTGTTTTATAAGCTGTATGTACATGTAATTAGGTTTATAAGTGGAAATTATATATTATAAGTTAGTTTTGGGTACATGTATATGTACCCAGCGCTGACACAGAGGAATTAGTCATGTTTGAACTCAATTGTTCATGTGAGGTAGGAACATGCAAGCCACCCCGCTGGGGAATGCGAAGGCGCTGTGGTCATCCTGCAGTAAAAGTGGCCCGAGCTGTCCCTGTGGTTTCAACAGACCACAATTGCAGGAGGAAACCACAGGTGGTACCCTGCAACACTGCATTGGGCATAACTGGTAGGTGTTTGATTTTGATCATATGTACAGTCGTTTTCCAAAAGCTTGCCGCTAATTCACCGCCAAATTGCTTGAGTTTTGCGGGCAAATTTCGGCAAGCTTTTTGAAAACGACTGTACAACTTCATTTCTTTATGTTTACCTTTCAATCCTGTTACCTCACTTGATGTCAACTTGATAAATTTTTCTTGAGTTCCACTCCAGTGTTTGTT